ATATAGGTTAATTTTTGTTATGGAACATCTTAGCTAATGCTGGCTCACTGGTTCAATATCTTTGTTTCAAATAGTAATCAATTAACTTTCTACAGTGTATGTGCATCTTCCACAGAAAATATACCCAAGAAAAAAATTTCTTTCTTAAGTGTCTTTCAGCCATTTTGGATTCTCTATTGAGAATTCTCTATTTGGTTCTGTATCCTACTTTTTAATTGGATTATTTGGTGTCTTGGTAGCTAGCTTCTTGAGTTCTTTGTATATTTTGGATATCAGCCCTCAGTCAGATGTGGGATTGGTGAAGATCTTTTCCTACTCTGTGGGCTGCCATTTTGTCTTATTGACAGTGTCTTTTGCCTTATAAAAGTGTCTCAGTTTGAGGAGGTCTCATTTATTAATTGTCGATCTCAGTGTCTGTTTTACTGAGATACCATCTTACTCCTGTCAGAATGGCTAAATCAAAAACACCAATGACAGTTTATGCTGGAGAGGATATGGAAAGAAGGGAACACTCCTCCACTGCTGGTGGGAGTGCAAACTTGTGCAGCCATTTTGGAGATCAGTATGTTGATTCCTCAGGAAAATGGAAATCAGTCTACCACAGGATCTGGCAATCCCCCTCTTTGGTATATACCCAAATGATCCACATCCATGCAACAAAGACATCTATGTTCATAGCAGCATTATTTGTAATAGCTAGAACCTGGAAACAACCTAGATGCCCCTCAACTGAAGAATGATAAAGCAGAAAAGGACATTTATACAATGGAATACTACTCAGTGGGAAAAAAACAATGGAATCTTGAAATCCAAAGGCAAATGGATGGGACGAGAGAAGAAACCATCCTGAGTGAGGTAACCCAGTCAACCCAGTAACAAAAGGATGAACATGATATGTACTCACTCATACATGGATTTTAGACATAGAGCAAAGGATCACCAGCCTACAATTCTCACTGCTAGAGAAGCTAGGATACAAGGAGGACCTTAAGAGAGACATACAAGTTCCCCCACAGAAGAGGAAAGTGACAAGATCTACTGGGCATATTGGGAGATGTGGAGGGGGCAGTGAGTGGAGAAGGAGTTAGGATAAAGAGAAGGAGTAAAGAGGAGGGGAGAGGAAAACTTGAGGGACCAGGAAGATTGAGTCAGGGGATGAATAGATGAGAGCAAGAAAAGAGATACCATAATAGAGGGAGTCAGAAAATGTTCAGAGATCTACAAGGATGACCCCAACTAACAATCTGAACAATAGTGGAGAGGCTACCTTAAATGTCTTTCCCTGATAATGAGATTGATGACTACCTTATATGCCATCCTAAAGCCTTCTTCTAGTAGCTGATGAAAACAGAGGCAGACACCCACAGATAAACACTGAGCTGAACTCCTGGAATCCAATTGCTGAGAGGGAAGATTGATAAGAAAAGGGGTCAAGACCAGGCTGCAGAAACCCACAGAAACAGCTGACCTGAACAAGGGGGAGCTCAGGGACCCCAGACAGAGAGCTGGGAAACCAGCATTGGACTGACCCAGACCCCCTATATTGGGTCTCAGTTAGAAGGCCTGAGCAGTCTAAGGGACCTCTGACATGGGAGGATGGGAGGGAGAGGGAACTGGAATTGATATGTAAAATATGAAAAAAATAATAAAATTTCTTCAGTAAGAATTTATTCATTATATCTATCTACCCTTTTCCCTGGGACAATATGTCCAATAAATATTTACTATTTCATGCTTCCTTTTTGAAACTCTTAACATATTTCCAAACATTTGGTTATTTTGTGTGCATTCCAATGCCATCCATTTATCAGAATTGAAGGCTTGGAATTCAGATTCAGGAATCCTGTTAGAAGAGCAATGTTTTCATGAGATCACAAAGGCTTCAGTGAAGACAAAGTCAATTGTCTTCAATTTCTTTAAACTGCATGAGAAAACTGACTGCAAAAGAAAACAAGTGTGGTTGATAGCCTTAGCCTAGCATCACCTGAAATGCATATCTTACAAATGATCCTTTGAAACACACATGATGAACCAGTTACATAATCCAAATAAAAGTCATTTTGGAGACTCTGATGCCAACTACAGGATTTTTTTTCCTGAAAGTGATATAAAAGAAATAAAGTTTATGTCTTAGTTACTTTTCAATTGTTTTGACAAAACAACCTGATCAGGGAGAAATAGAAGAGGAGGAGGAAATTTAATTGGGCTTAGGACTTCAGAGGGTTCGTGTCCATGATGGAAGGAACAGCTGAGTGCTGGCATCTTTATTCCAGAGTTGGGAGCAGAGAGAGAACCCTGGGAAGCTTCAGAACTTCCTCCAAGTGATGCACCTCCTCAAATATACCCCCTAACCCTTCCCAAACGGTTCCAGCAACTGGAGAAGAAGCATTATGAATTGATGGAAGCCATTCTCATTCCCACTACTACTACTGAATACACAGGCACTAGGTAATCTTCCATTGTTCTCATAAAACTGAAAGCTACCGGGAGATGGAGAAGATTTTTGGACCTCCATTCTTAGCCTTCAATGCCTGCCCATTACCTGGTAGTGATGGCTACAGAAAACCATAGCATTTGATGGACTGCAATGCAAATGCTTTCAGCAGGAGCCTACTCTAGGTCCTGATATATTTCAGGATCCATCAAGGCTACTAGGTGTTCCTGGCACCTCCATAATCCTCTACCTTCAGTGCTGGTTAATATTGACAGGATCTAACAGCACCTGGAGACAATCCTCTCCCTGCTTGTGAAAGTGTTGCTAGGTGGGATCCTATCAGAATGGACTATATCCCCTCTCACTGTGAGCCAAAATGAATCTCCCCTCCCCTCCCATAAGGCGCTACTTGGTAGGTGTTTAGTCACAGCACTGAGTGAGAGCCAGATATCAGAACTGGGTTTCTTTGTGTCCCAGCCAACAGGGTCATGCCACACATAAGCAAGATGGTCATCACAGCTTGAAAGTCCTTTTGTCCTGTTTTTAATAATTTTAAAAATTGGAGTATAATCACACCATTTCTCCCTTCTCTCTTTTCTCTCCAGCTCCTCACAGTGCGCGCGCGTGCACACACACACACACACACACACACACACACACACTCACACCTTTTCTCTCACAAATGCATGTCCTCTTTTACTGTAACTGTTGTTGTTTTGCCTTCTCTGGCCTTGGGGCTCACGGTGCCTTCCCTGGGAATGGATACTTTAGGAGAGCTGTGTAAGTACCCTGGTTATGCTCTGAAGCAGTGAAATTAGAAAGGGCAGAAACGTGTAAGTTTTACGGGTGTGTGCAGGGACTAACAGTGGACCTGGTACATATTGGCTTGATGTGGAAAAGTCACTGGGTTTTCCTTTTGCCTGCTTAGAATTGATAATTAGAGGAAACAAAGGACGGAGAAACTGAGTAGCAGGGACCATGCCACCTGCCTACTAATGACCACCAACCTGCCTCCCCTGAAGCATTCTTTCATCCTAATAGGAGCTTTAGAAAATGGGCGGGGGAGGGGGCAGCTGTCGATGAGAGGCTGACTTAGGAGAGACACAGAAAGTAAACAAAGGAGTGTTTGCCTTTTAATTACCTTTTAAGAAGGAAGCAGGGAAAGTGTGAGCCCAAAATTTCAAAGTTCGAGGGGGGGGAGGGGGAAATGCAGGATTTCCTTCAACAGTTAACTCTTTTTCCACCCTGAGCGTCTACAGTTCCAAAAATTTCAGCGGCTGGAATAACTGGCAAGTTGTGGGCACTGTACAGCTATGCACTGGGGAGAGCTGGGAGCACCGCCATTTATACACAAAGCCAAGGACTTCCCAGGCCCCTGTTGGGGTCACCACAGCACTGCCGGCCCAGAGACTCGCCAGGAAGCACCCGCGGCTAGTGGCCGGGAGAAGTTAGTCACCCACAGCCTGAAGTCAGCAAGTGTTGGAGCTTGAACAAACTAGGAGATGAGGTTGGAAATCAGCTACCGGACCCGCTGGAGGGACCCAGGGAAGAGAGCGCGGGACTTGGGGGATGCACCGGCGGCTGGAAGCCCTGGCTGGTGGATGCTTTTGCCAGGTCTTCAAGGTCAGAGCGCACCAGCCTGCAGAAGGAGACAAGAACTTCATTTCCCGCAGCATGGGAAAGGAGGCAGGGAGACTTTTAAAACACCCAAACACCCCTTCAGAAGATGAGGTAAGCCGAGGTTAGCCAACCCCGATTGGTTGTGAAATATCACACGGACCCGGAGTTGCTGTGTCTTTAAATGGGGCCAAGGAAATTTCCTTGTTTTCCTGCCCAAATAATTTTTTTCCTCCCCCTCTCCCCCTCTCTCCCTCCTTTCTCCCTGCTTCCACCTTGCCAGATCCTGGTCCCTTCTGCCTTCCTGGCCTCCCTTTCCTCGATCACCCTCCTCCTCTCCCTGCGCCCTCCCCCATCGGATTAGGCGCGGACCGGGAAGGGTGGGAGTGGTGGGGGAAGCTCTCCCTTTAAGAGGCAGTGTGCAGTGACGAATTGTTGAAATTGCCATTGCAGGATGGCACGCTGCTATAAATTCATTGTCCCACCTCCTCGCATCTTCACAGGGCTGGAGCCGCTCTCCGCGCCCGCAGCAGCAGACTGGGGATGACCGCGGGCTGGAGGACGCGGCAGCGGAAGGGTCCGGGTCTCGCCGCCTGACTGGCTCGCCGCAGGCCGTCTCCTGCTTTTTGATTTTAAACATTTTAGGGCTTTTTCCCCCGTCTCTTCCCCCCCCCCCCCGCCACCGGGTTCCAGCAGAGCCGAGGAAGCCCACGGAATAAGAAAGGAAGTGGGGTCGGAGCTTGGAAGCTCCACAGCCGAGGAGCCCGAGGCTTCAAGGGGGCGGGAGCCGACGCGCACCAGTTGCGGGCGGGGAGCGCGGTCGCCCTCCTTCCTCTCCTTTCTCATTTGTTTTGATCGGTTCGTGCAACAATCTTGTCTGCATTGGGCTTCTCTCCTTTTTCATATTTGGTAGCGCACCACCGCCTGGCTTTTGCTTTTTGCTCCCCTTCCCTCTCCCCCGCCCCCTTTTAATTTTTCTTTCTCAGTCTCTCGGAGCACAATTCCAAACATTTTCCAAACCAACAAAGAAAAAGTTCGCACGCTGGCACCGTGGCCAGGACAGGCTGGCGGTCTGCGGCGGGTTAGCCCAACCATCCCCCGGACACTTGACTCAACCTTGCATGCAAGTGTGTAGACAGTGTGTAGGTGGGTGGGTGGGAGGCCGAGTCCCCCACCCCCGCCCCTGAAACTTCCATAGCAAATAGCAAACATCCCGCTAGATTCAATTGCGCAGCCCCTCCCGGTGGGCAGCGCACTATGCGGCTCCAGTGGGCGTCCCTGCTGCTGCTGATGTGTGCGTCCTGCCTGTCCCTGACTGCTGACAACCCCACCAGGGCACCTGCCCAGGATAGAACAGGACAGCTTCGGGCTGCTGCAGCGGCCGCCCAGCCCGGGCAGCTGCAGGGGGAGGAGACGCAGGAGCTGGACCATCCGAATCTCCTGGCCAAGCAGCGCAGGAGCAGCGGGCTGGTGCAGAATATAGACCAGCTCTACTCTGGCGGTGGCAAGGTGGGCTACCTTGTCTATGCCGGCAGCAGGAGGTTCCTGCTGGATTTGGAGAGGGATGACTCAGTGGGTACCGCTGGTGGCATCCTTACTGCAGGAGGCGGGCTGAGTGCATCATCTAGCCACCGGGGTCACTGCTTCTACCGGGGCACGGTGGATGGCAGCCCAAGATCCCTAGCTGTCTTTGACCTCTGCGGGGGTCTCGATGGCTTCTTCGCTGTCAAGCACGCGCGCTACACTCTGAAGCCCCTCCTGCGTGGATCCCGGGCCGAGGCCGAGGCCGGACGAGTGTACGGGGATGGATCTTCGCGCGTTCTGCACATCTACACCCGTGAGGGCTTCAGCTTCGAAGCCCTGCCGCCACGCGCCAGCTGTGAGACTCCCGCGTCCCCGCCTAGGCCTCAAGAGCGCCCCTCGGTGCACAGTAGTTCCAGGAGACGCGCAGCTCTGGCTCCGCAGCTCTTGGACCAGTCAGCCTTCTCACCAGCTGGGGATGCAGGACCCCAGACTTGGTGGAGACGGAGGCGCCGTTCTATCTCTAGAGCCCGCCAAGTGGAGCTCCTTTTGGTGGCTGACTCCTCCATGGCGAGGATGTATGGCAGGGGCCTGCAACATTACCTGCTGACCCTAGCCTCCATTGCCAACCGCCTGTACAGTCACGCTAGCATTGAGAACCATATCCGCCTGGCTGTGGTGAAGGTGGTAGTTCTGGCCGACAAGGACAAGAGTCTGGAGGTGAGCAAGAATGCCGCCACGACCCTCAAGAACTTTTGCAAGTGGCAGCACCAACACAACCAGCTAGGGGATGATCATGAGGAACACTACGATGCAGCTATCCTGTTCACCCGAGAGGTAGGTGCAGTGGGTGGGGACCCAGCTCTGGGATATGGAGCCAGGTGCAAAGGGATGCTCTCGCTGGTGACTCTGCTTCTGGCACTCAATATAGATTTGCTTAACTGCATCTTGCAGGAAACTCAGCCTCTAGCCCCATCCAGGTGCTCCGATTAGCCTCTGTAGTAATCCCTGCTTTAAATGAGGAGACCTGCTTAGGAGAGCAACATTCAACAAGACTAGATGCCATCCAGGCAGACAGAACAGTATGGTGTATGAGCATAAGTAGACAGGTTCGCGCTTAAGGAAGGCGAACAGTTAAAGAGCAATCGTGATTTGTACTTCCCAGCGGAGACAAAAAATACTATTTGTCCAACTTAATGGGAAGGACTTGAAAGTTGGCCAGTCGCTTTTATCAGATTGATGACCTCCCTTGTAAATGTCCTTATGCGAACCCTTCTGCAACACTGGCCCTTTCCAAAGGACTCATTTTCGAATGTGGCTTCCAAATGGGCTTCTGACGTGTCCACCTTGGAATCTGAGTTGCTGAGAAGGAAGGAATGTGGGAGGGCCCAGAGGATGCAGAAGTCCAATCAGATGAGAGGACAACCCCTAAGGTCCTTGAATAAGACCTACTAGCACATCAGAAGCACCACCCTCCAACCCAGCTGCCAAACAAGGGTCACATCCAGTTGGAAGGTTTGGGTTTTGGATGGATGTTTCTGAAGCTCTGGGCAGAGCTTCAGGATGTGGGGAAAGAGTGTTTTCCAAGGACTTCCCCCACGTTAAGGAAGATGGTTACAGAGAAGGAAGAGATGGGTCATTATAAACCCAGACATTCTGGGAGGAATGGATCTATTTACACAGTGACCAGACCACCAAGTTAGTGAGATATTTCAGACAGAAAGTCCGGCCTTGCTGGTGGTTGTGAGCCCCAGGGTTCACATTCACAAAGCTGGCTTGGTTGGCAGCATCCATTCTATTGTGTGTATGCACAGGCGTGTGTGTGTGTGTGTGTGTGTGTGTGTGTGTGTGTGTGTGTGCGTGCGTGTGTGTGTGCATTCCACAGAGGATCATAGCTTCAGTGTATGTATGACTGCCATGATCACCGCAATCTCAGAAGTCAGCACTTTGTCTCACATGCCTGGCTGTCACAGTCCTCCCCCTCCCCCAACCCTGTGACACTTGGACCCTGGAGTGTGCTATATACAGCCCCCATTCAGGATGAGCGGCCAGCTGTCCTTCCTATTCCTAGCATTTTGATGGGCTATAAGTCTCCGATTTAAGCCTAATCCATTGACAAAATAGACTTCTCTGCCTAACTTGTGCCTCTCACATGCCTGGAGAGACTGATGTTTAAAATCCATTCTAGGTTTATGAGATCGGTCCAGCACACACGGTGCAACTACAAACCGTTTCACTGTGTAAAACTGCAAATCATAACAAAAGAGCATAGATAGAAAAAGAGGATAGAAAATTCATGGCAGAGAATTCAGGGTGGCACAGTTCTGTTACTTAATTTTTTCTAGTTTTTACTAAGGCACCCATGTATGAAGGACAAAGCATTAACAAATTCAGCAGAGAGAAAACCCCAAAGTCTGTGGGGGTGGACATAAATGTAACCCACATGCAAACAAAGACACCAAAGGCAGCATTCAGAGAGAGGTGGGCGCCACAGCCTTGTGTACAATGGAAAAACTTCCGTGTCATTAAGAGATATTCCGGAAGCCATTCCTTAATTCCTTTGCCCAGTGTTAGTCTTTGAAACGGTAGAACATTTGCTTTGTAGACTGCCCTGTGAAGTTCTGCCGTAAAACTATCCCTTTCTCACTTGGTTTCCAAGACTTTTTTTTTTTTTTCTTTTTCATAAGCAACTTTCCATGTCTGTGTTTCCTTGTGTTGCTATATCACCAGTGCCTGCCAAGAAAGGCTTGGGAGAGTTTATAGAAGGAGGTTCCCTGAAGAAAGGGGAAAAATACTTTTGTAGACAGACCACACCAAAAGGCGTGTATTGCCAATCATCATAATACTTTTCTTTCAGTTTTAATACAAAAACATAATTTATAATTCTAAAATTAACTTGAAGACCTCTCACTATTTGCACCCTTCCACATACTTTTCTCAATTATTTCCCAGCTAAAAGGAAATGATCCATGATTCCCAGTAATGTCTATTGAGTTTTTGGGTTGGCTTTGTACTTGGGTAATTGACAATCACTGTTTTCCAGACTGGAAAATGCATCACCGAATTTTAACCAGACAAAAATGCAAGATAGAAATAAATTCATTCTCTAAGTTGTTTTTAATTTAAAAATCCTTAATTACATTCTATTTATGGAGGAGCTCATGTGTCAGAGCATGTAAGCAGGGGTCAAGAAGGACAACTTTGGGAATTGGTTCTTTCCACCTACCATGTCAACCCCGGGGAAATAAACTCGGGTTCTCAGGCTCTATGGCAAGTGTCTTTACCCACTTGAGCCAGCCACCCTGCCAGCCCTAACTTAACTTTACTAAGACTCACAACAAGATTCTCCAAGCTGGTTTGCACATGGGAAACACTTAGTGGGACCCTCTCTGGACTCCTTGCCAAGCAGAACCATACTTAAATAAAGCAAGTGCCATTTAGTTTGAGGGTGATCTCTGACAGCCATCTAACCACATAAGCACCGAATCTTTGAGATACAGTGATACTATGAATATATTATTCTAAAAGAGGACTTTTAGGTGGCTGGGGAAAGTATTTTGATACTGGGCAATACTAACTTGAAAGTATTCAGTATGCAGCGTTGATCTCTGGCTAATGCTTCAAAAAGTGTAAAACCAAGAAGTCTAGAGGAGAGACTATCAGGACTCTGGTGTCTAAGGGAAGTCAGGTATTTTCAGTCTGGTCATATGAAAGAAATAACTTTCATAGCTCTTTTCAGCGAGAAATACCCAGATTTGGCACGGGGATTCCATTTTTACAACTCTGTTTTGAATGTAAGATGTGTGTTGCTTAGCAGCCAGACAGACGCTCAGCCATCAAATCCATGTTTTGATGGGCTCTGAGTTCTGTTCAAATTTTGTGTCCAGATGTCTTCTGCTAAATTGCTTGTTTTTCAGGCGTGAAGCAAATGTGTGAGGAAGTGCCTTCCCCTCCTGTTTGCTAGTCAGTAACACCTTGAACGTTGTGTCTAGCAGTCAGCAGATGAGTATTAATAATTCAGCTATTGAGCAAACACACTTGCCTGTCAGGGCTATGCACTGGCCTTCAGTAATGTTCTAATTATAGAAACAGCACCCACTATTTTTCTGGCACAAAGCCACTTTCATTGCCAATGGCATTCCTGCTGGAATCCACACTACTTCTGCCACCAAACGTTAGAAGTCAAGCCCCCAGGGGTTTACGCTTCACTTCTCCGAGCCCTCTTCTCATTGTGACTCTCTTCCTTGTTGAATTTTTAAAGACAATTTTGAGCTTGTTTTCCAGACCATTCATGCCTCTGTAGAAACAAACATCTTCCTGGTTGATGTCAAAATCAGGAACTCTTTCCCATGCCTCTCCCTACATCTGACCAACAACAATGAACTCTTTAATATTGCATAGATTAAAATCATTGGGTGGGATATGAACCAGCTAAGAGACTACAATAAAAAGTCCATTACTTTTCATTAATTACTAAAGCAGAGTTTGATAAGCTAATTTGTTCCCCCGAGACCCCCTCTTTTCTCATGCCTATCTTGGAATGCTTGATCCAAGACTCAGACGTTTTCCCTCTACCATTTGCTTCCTTATTACATTGGACAAGAAGTGGACACTAGGAGACAAAAACCTTGGAAGAGAGAAAGGGTTGCACTTGGTCCTTGGTATGCTGACTGGACCAACTAATTCAGTCACATATTTGAGTTCAATACTACTTTAAGTTTACAGTGACCATTGCCAAAAAACTACAACTATAGATCAGCCTTAAAAGAGATGTAACAATCCAGAAACGTGGAGAGTGGTCACAGATTCAGCAACTCTAGCTTATCATGCATGCACGAAAGAGTTATGAGGAATACATCGAAATACTTGAGCCATAAAACAATATTATACAACAGGACAAAGAATAGATTGTCTCATAACAAATATACAGGTCTCATTGCAAATATACAATTGCATGGTTTTTATGGATGGACTGATGTGACCAATCCTGTTTGATAAACTGATTGACTACCTGTTATTGAGCATTTCTTAAGTACTATCCCTAGTGTGAATCATTTTATCCCTAAACAATCAAACAATCAGCAACCATAATGTTGTTTTGTTTTGCAGGCAGAAAATATATTTCAAGAGAAACACAGATAATCTGACTAGTTATTCAAATACCCAATCAACAACTATCTTTATAGCCAGGGATATACAGAGGTTTAAAAACTCAACCACATCCTGAAAATCTATTCCAGAAAATATAGCAATGATATTGAGTGCGTACACCAGTAGAACTTCTGGTAGATGTGGTTGTAAGATAAGGTTGTAGAATTCAGTTTGGGAGAAGGCAGTGCTAGCCAGACACATGTCCTTCTAAGAATTAGCATAGCAGACACACCAAGATTCCACGCGCCATGCATGGCCCAGCCCCTATGGAGAATCGCTGAAGTGTAGGGACGTGCTATAAGAAGACAAGAAACAGGAGGGTTGAATGATCATTGATTAGCTAAAGAAACAAGTAACAGCTAGATTACTGGGGTGGGGAGGAAGAAATCGTATATTGCAGGTGTTGGTTTGCTAGTGCTACAACAACAAAATAGCAAAGGAGGGACGGATCTAACAACAAAGAGAAATTCTCACTCAGTTCTGGATCCTGGAAACTTTAAGATAAAATATCTTCCTGGTACGCCTTTGGATAAGAAATCGCTTCCTAGTTTATAGGAGTCCCTCTTCTTCCTGTGTATTTACACTGCCATTCCTCTTTCTCGTCTATCAAAGAATGGAGGCAGGGCAGGGGAAGAAGACAGAAGGGATAGCAAGGGAAAGAAAGGAGAGGGGAGGAAAGAGTCCTGAAGTGCCCGCATTATGTGAGCCATCCTTGTTAAGTTATATATAGTCCCTTTCTCTAAGTAGAATCACACTGGAGTACTGGGAATTGGGTTGAGGAACTCAAGGGATGATATACTCAGGTCATAGCATCATGCTATCATATTTTGTACTCTAAACCAATTGCATTGGAAATCAATAGAAAGAACAGTAGTGGAGGAGATAAGCGAGGAGTGCCATAAAATGAGCCTTGCTAATTGGCTTAGTGGCCCCCGTGGGCACAGTGATGTTAAGGATTGAAAAGTGTGGGTCAAGAAAGGGTTAAGAAAGAAAAAAGACAAATATGGGTAAGTTAAGCTTTTCTAGTTGATAGAATATTTCAGTTTATTGTTTGGGGAACCAAACTACGAATGACCTATGCAGGCAACAGTTGCCAGGATAGGGCCTGAGGAAGGGCAGGGTCCATTGTGTTGAGTTGTCAGTAGAACTGTGTGGAAAGAAGAGTGGGCATCCCAAATATTGTGATGTCTTACTCTTGCTCTGAACACTACTGTTGGCTTCACCAGGAATCAATACTGTATAAAGGGTTCTTCTTCAAACTGTTGCCCTTGGGAAGTCTGCCCTTACCAGACTTTATGTTTCTTCCAATTCCTTATCTCAGCATTTTTTTTCTTACTACATGAGAAAAAATCCTTCAATCAAGATGAGAAATTCTCCCACTCTTGTGATATTCTTTGCTTGGATAGCAATGGCCACTGGGTGCTTGGCTCCATTTCCCATCTGGTCTAAACTTGAATGCTTTCCAAGCTTTCCTCCGAGCACTAAAGCTCTAGGGGGTGTGCTTTGCTGCCTCCTCATCACATTTCTATCCACACAAACAGGTCTGAGGTACTACTAGAATTTTTGAATGGCATGAAAAGTCACAAAGTCCCCATATTCACAGTCTCTGTGACCGTAACAGGGCTAATGATTTCCTTGTGGAAACTTTTTGATTCTAAAGATGATCTGAGAGATATCTTGAAGAATCCATTGTCTCTCTCCTATAGCTTTGCCAACACAATACCATGGGACCACAGTTAACTCCCCTCATACTTTCAGAACACTTACATTTTACTCAGTTTTCCATTGCATCATTCAATAATCAATAATAATGTGATACTGATTCTAAACAAAAAACAACTGCTGAAAAATTAAATAATTTGCCTTGTGATGGATAATTGTTTAAACAGACATTAATTAGCTCTTCCAATTCACTTACCTCTTTTATAGATGCTGACCTGCCTTCTTTAGAGTCCTCTACTTCCATTTCTAGAATACAGACCAATATATATGCTATAATGTGTATACATTAATATGTGATCACTACAGTATTATCCCTACCCTTCCTCTGAATTTTAAAAACCATATAAACTTGAAGGCTAACTAACATGCAAGTTCTGTTGTAAAGGGATCACCAGAAGCCAAAAATATGGATGCAAAATGCTATTTTAATAATTTGATATATAGTCTTTACACCTTAAAAAGCACTTTGACTTATAATGTTCTTTATACATCTTGAGTGTGAAACCATAACTGCACTGAAAATGTTCAAAATTGCATGAGAGAAATGGAAAGTTTTCAGTTTATAATTACAGCTGTGGATGTATAATGGCGTGGCAATGTAGTCAAGGGGCTTAATCAGTCTGGTTAAAAAAAATATAAGTGCTTCTGTTCATAATTTAGTCTCATGCACAATTTCCATGGCAAAAGGCCAAATGCATTTAATGCAATTCAAAGAAAACAAGGGAGGTTGATGGCCTCTAATGAGCAATTGATTAGCAGTAAACAGAGATAATAAGATTCCGGTTTCCACTCCATTGGGAACAGGAAGGCCGTTTCCTTATGCATTGGCTCCAAGCTGGTTAGTGATACAAGGAGTGGAAGTCAAGTCTTAGATTTGATTATTTGAAGATGATCAACTCCAAATTATTATTATAAACACAAATCTTGGTTTAAAACCATGTGTGTATGTAAAAATAGCCTACTGTATATAAGGATTGAATCGTGACCAGGAATCTGGTCTTAAAATTGCTAAAATGATGAAAGGTGGAATTAAAACTGTGTTGTACCATATTATTATCCCAAATAGTCATTATTATGCAAAAGACAACTCAAATTTCGATTTTTAAAGCTGCTTATTTGTTCTTAGCAGCTTTGGTTTGGGATCTCCTTGGATGGCATGGAAGGATACCCAGGGAAGCTTGCAGGGTGGGAGATATTGCTGGCATTAGGGCTGTGATTCAGAGGTTTCTTCATGACAGTTCCACTATCCAAAGCTGTAATAACATAGTGGCTGGCCACTGGGTAGCCCAACACAGCCGAAAGTCACAATATAAGTAGCACAAGGAAACGGATGAGAGAAGGGAATTGGGTATAGCCTTTAAGTCTTGCTCAACATTGTTGGACTTCTATACAGAAAAATAGAGAGGGGTGAGGAGTATCTGTTGCCAGGCAGTCTGTATACTGATGTGTAGGAATACCACCTTGCACCTGTATGCCCGAAGGTTGTTGAGGTCCACCAGCAGGCAGCATAATAAAGATATATGAGGACCATTACATTGAGTCTGACTGTATTTCACCATTCAGTTTAATTAAGCAAACATTGGTAGAGTCCCTACTGTGAGATACACATTGTGAGCAGATGAGAGCTATAATAGAAACACCACTTCTTTCCCAAACTAACATTTTAGCTTCGTTTCCAGGGTTGGTTATCAACTTGTGGCTTACTTGGGAATGCTATATTGTTCTTTTGTTGTTAATACATACGCTGAGTTTTAATGAAATTCATAATTATGCACAAGAAGATTTTGTCTATTTAATAACTAAATAACATTTAAAGAGAAGGTTACTAGAAATTGGACATGTCAAAAGTTGTGGCTTCTATTATCTTCCTTATTTCTTTTATGTCTTGTTGACGTCTTTAACTGATGTTTAAAAATTAGTATGATGTGATAATTTTTGCTTTTGAGGATATCTTAAAAGCTGTGGAGATTCTAAATGCTAAAATTAATACACTCATATCTACCTGTGCAACATACTTGCACCACACATGTTTTCTCATGTGTGACCAGGTTGAGAAACACTGTTCTAAAAGCTATGAGCAAAATGGCTCAGTGGATAAAGGTGCTAGCTGCCAATCTTGATGAACTGAGTTTGTCCTGGATTAGTGGTGGTAATGGAAACCTAACTCCCACAAGTTGTCCTCTGACAACCGTACATGTACTAGGACACAGACAAGTTCACATACCCAGTAAATAAGTGTGAAATGATTAAAAATCTATGTAAGACACAGTGTATGACATTATGATTCAACTGTGAAATTCAAAACTGGTCTTTCAAGTAATAATGGACAGACGAAAGTTTGTTTTTCTATGTATGTATATATATATAGGTATATATATACATATATATATTCGATTAAAATTTAGCTTATTTCTTATATAAGTGACTGAATATATTTATATACACAAATACATGTATAAACACAGTTATGTTAATAATATATATCCTATCACAAATGTGCGGTTACAGATTGACTCTACAGAAAACAAATTATTCAGCCTCTCTCCCAAGAAGCTTGAATTTATGTGAGAATAGTATGCTTTTCTATGTTGAACACATGTAACCCTTGACAGTTGTGTATGCACTGAAGCTTTCAGGCTCTGGGGCTTGCGTTGTAATGGACAAGCTATAATCATGGCATCTTCTAAAATGCCGTTGATTTCTTTTTTCTTATCCTTCTGTGTTTCTGGATTGCAAAGTAGCCCAGAAGACTTTCTGCTTTGAATTTTGCTTTGGAAGGCTTCCAGCACTGAGCAGGTGACACCATAAACATATCTCAATGTTGCCATTTGGGGTGAGCGAGTGGCTGTCCATGGTGGCTCCTTCTGGATGTAAATTGATTTTAATGATTTCTTTCTTTCTCCCCGGCAGGATTTATGTGGGCATCATTCATGTGACACCCTGGGAATGGCAGACGTTGGGACCATATGTTCCCCGGAGCGCAGCTGTGCTGTGATTGAAGATGATGGCCTCCATGCGGCCTTCACTGTGGCTCACGAAATTGGTATGCAGCGTCTTTTCTCTTCCCTCGCCAAATCAAACACTTGTAACAGCTGCAACAGGACCCAAAATACTTGGCAATTAATTCCAGATTTCTTCTGGTTCAGATGTACCATTGGGTATTACATTTGTTTTTATTTGAATTTTCAGGGTTAACTAATGCAGGGAAAAGGAAGGCAAAGTCAGCAACACAGTAGATGTTTCCTTTTGATGGTGTCATTCAAATGTTAAGGAGAAATTTTCTCCTGCCTTTTTTCTCTTTTTTTAAGCATCCCTAAATGACTGACTCCTAGACAGAATTTGCCACAGTTGCCTATGGAATGCAGAGGCATCCCTTTTAGAAGTTGTTCATGACAGTGTTGACCAGTCCAGAGATAATCAGTTTGCACAGAAATTTAACATGTTTTGCCCCCATCATGAGTGATAATAGTAGATTCCTGTCAAAGGGAACCAGTAGCTTGTGGGAAATATTCTTGTCTCCTGCCCAGTAGTGAGGCAGCTGGAACCAAACTGACTCTCAGCATAGTTTACTTATAATGCCATATGTTCGATTAGCTTAGTATACCTAGTAATTCTAAATCCTACAACTGTAAATTGATGGCAGAGGTAAACAATTAAACTATGTCCCTGGGATATGGAAAACTAGCCACTGACCTAGGAGAATGATGTACAAGAAACTAACTGATTTAGTACTTAGGACAAAATATTAGATACATACAACTTCGTATCTTACTAAAGGAATTTCCCTTCTGTGTCAAATCATTCTCTTATTAAATTCTTTGAGACTCTGCTGTCATTTCTGAAATATAAGGGCAGCGCTATCTCTTATACAGAATTATTTTAGAAACCAAATAGGATGGAGTGTAGACAGTGAGTAGCACTTATATTCACATTCACTTACTGCAGTTTGATTAGCTAAATGTTTCATTCCCTTTCTTAATTTAGGCATAATCTCTTTATATCTTGACTTGTGGTATGAAGAAATCATCCAATCATTATAGCATCTAGATTTTCAATATTTCTATTTATAATATTTAGCTTGTTAAAGCTACAGTCTCAACTTTTAAATGAAAATTAAAAATTTTACCCCACATTCCTAGCAACCTGTGTATTTTCACAAGGTGCCAAAATCTAACCACATTTCTTTGAGGGGCAGAATAATATGTAGTGAAAGGGACAATTTCATAAATGCAAATGTGATAGCAGTTGAACAGAATTAAGTAGTTGCATTTCAACTATTATATTTTGTTGCTAAATTCTCTTGTCCCATCAGGTCCCACTGCATCAGCCCCACACAAAAATGTGTATTAATTATTAAACTGTTGGCCGATGACTAAGGCTTCTTATTGGCTAGCTCTGTCTTAATTATTAACCCATTTCTATCAATTTGTGTATTTCCATGTGGTCTTGGATTACAGGAGAAGTGTCCAGACCTGTTCCTCCTTTGGTGGCCCAAATGGTGTCTGTTTTGGTGGGCTCCCTCTGCCTACCTTTCCCAGAATTCTCCTCATCTCTTAGTCCAGCCTATCTTTCTGCCTCATTGGCCAACAGTGCTTTATTCATCAACCAATAAGAGAAACATATATTCAGAAGGACATCCTCCATCAGTATTTCAAGTACCGGTCCTGATATTGATATACTGACAGTTTCCTTAGCATCAAATATAAATCTTTGATGGAAAAAGCCTTTGCAATAGCATCATTGATGTTAATCCCGTCCAAAACATTTTTGAACATCTTTCACTTAAGCCAAAGTGCTGAGAGGAAGCCGAGTCCTTGTCAGTTCCCTGTGGAATCTCACTCCTCCAGGTCGTTTAGACACCTTGATCATCCATGTTGTCTCTATATGGTCAACCAATAATAAGCCACATTCTTAAGGAAGGGACACTGCTTCCTTCAGACCTCCTCTCCTGAGAGATGTTGGGCTTTCTGCATAGTCTCTTGATTGCTTCTCCTGGCTCCCATACTACACCACCTGGATTAGAGTATCTAAGTCTAGCAAGGTCACATTCCCTGTCCTAAATTCTTCATGAAGGACTCTGTGTTACACAGGCTGGTGAGGCGGGGGAGGTATGGAGCCAGACACCATTAGGCAAAGCAAGACAGGCATAATAGCACAGAGGAAAAACATGATAGCATAGTGAGCTCCTATATGCAGAGTCAAACCTGTGTCTTTGCATATCATTACATCCTGGTGGCCCCTTGAATTTCTTGGTTGTGTTATCACTCTTTGATTCATTATAACTCTCTATAGTTCATTTCCCAGTTAAATGTCGCCTGCTTGATTTTCCTTTTTATATTGCAAATGACCTAAAGAGATATCTAAGGTCCAAAGGTTAAGGAATATGGATTTGATTCTTTATTTTTTTTTTTAAATCTTCTATTAAGTTCATTTCTAGAAATGATAATCTTACATAAGATTTTTATCTCTGTGGATGGTCAGAGTCTTGTCTCTGGGACATCTTGACCTTAACTCGCTGATCTGTTTAAAGTATTTATTTCCCCATTGTTGCATGCTCGATCCATGTTTTAGACTTGGAAAATACATAACACATATGTAGTTATAAAAATAACATTTTGAAGCAGTGGTTTTCTAGTATTTATAATCTGCTTGAATCCCATTCCAAAACATGCAGCTTCCTTCATTTCAAGCACATGCTGTCAGTGTATTACTGTGCTCAAAACATGAGCTGGAAGGAAATATCCACACTCTAGCATAAGTTATCTATTTTTTTTCTATGGGAAGTAAAGGAATATATTTGATTAGGAATATCTTCTATTAACTGACATAGGGTCCCATGGAGTATCAAAGACCTTCTTTTGCTGTATATAGTAGTTTCAAATACAGGCTACAGTTGTACAGGAAGAAAACAAAGTGTCCTCCCTGCCCCATATCTTCCAGTTAAAAGGAAAATAAATAAACAACTCTTAAGTTGAAAATTTACACATAGGGTAAATTAAAGTGATGGTGGTTGTCATGGCACCCTGGAAAGGCTGACACAGAGGATCATGAGCTCTAAGCTCGCCTGGGTTACATAGTGAGGCTCTGTCTCAAAAAGAAAAGGGAAAATGGAGACAGAAACCCTTTGATGTAAAATTGCAGGTCGTGGAACAGAATAGACTAGATTGCCAGTTCTTCTTGCATGCTCCCCGCGTTAGCTAGGACTCTTCTGTCCTCCTGCTAACCCAGTCAGTCTCAAAATCAAATGAACAATGAGATGCAAAATGTTGAAGGCGCATAGTTATCTGATGCCAATGCAGGCTGCAGGCTTCTGCAAGAGCAATGTTCATTAATATGGACAAGACCCACAGGCAGCTCTAAGGTGCCTTCTGCTCTCTAGGCTGTGCACAGTAAATACCGACTCAATAGCTAGAACATTTCAAAATGTTGCTCCAAATCATCCATGTGCTTTGGGTGGAGGAATGTGTTTACAGCCATTTTAACAATCCAAATGAGAGCGGCAGAGAGTTTTCAAGTTGATGTAAGTTTACATTCTGAGTTTATATTTTTTAACTTGTCAAGCTTTTATTATAGACTTGTAATAATAAAGATTTCACCTGCTGCACATGTGGTCATTAAAAATAATCGTTTTATTGATGTTGAGCCAGCTTCTACTATACGAAGGGGAACAATAGGATTTTTATTAAGATTAATGAAATCCATGAGCACACAAAAGGTTTGTGTTATAGTAGTTAATTACAAAATGTGCTAAGTGAATTCCTCCACTGAGAAAGACTTCAGTGTGTTTCCCAAGTCAAAACTTTAAAGGCAGCTTTAAAGAGCAGGACCAAATCCTCAGGCAGACTTAGGAAGTGGTTGAGACACAACAGGGGGCTGCCTGCCTTTTGCTGTGGTTGGAGACTGCTCGGGTTGTGCTGAGCAGGGTATGACTCTGCCCCATAGATGATTAGATTAAACAAGTTTGTGTTTGGAAAACTGAAGGGCCCCTCCTCCACCCAAAACTTGGTAGACCAAAGGCAAGTCCACAGAATCAGACGTTCAACTGGCAAGGCAGATGTGAAGTAAGAAGAAAGCTGGGACCCAACTTGTTATTTATCTTCAGACGTGTCACTTTAATCAACACAAACTAGGCATATTTCCTGCCAAACTTGAATCAGTACCTCGCCGTGTCTTTCTTGGACCAGGGATGAAAGGTACAAATAGGTATGGGTTACATGTCTCAAGAACTGCAAGATTTAATGTTTATTAGGACTTTAAAAATAAATTTTATCCCAATCCATGTTTCTCTAGGGAAGGCCAATTGACTTTTTTTTTTCTTTTTCGCCACACAGGTTGACAGCAGCTAGTTGAACATGCAATTAAAAAGTAGATTGCAGTCAGAATGTGTGGCTTGTTTCTCTTTTCAAGTTAGGAAATTGTTCTCTCCCTCTCAATTCAGGCATTCGGTGATATTAAAACTTATTTCAAATACTAAGTTGGCAAGATAGCTCCTTGGTAAAGTGCTTGCTTGAAAACACAAAGACATGAGTTCAATACCCAGAATCTGCATTAAAACACAAAACAAAAACAAAAACAGACACCAAATTACCTGCCTGTAATCCCGTGGTGGTAAAGTAGAGACAGGTGCACCCCTGGCTCTTGCTAGCCAGTTAACCTAGCCCTCTTGGAACATTCCAGGTCAGTGACAGACAAAGTGTCAAAACACAATTTTAAGGTAGATTATGCCTGCAGAAAATCAGCCAACGTTCTCCACTGATCTTTCACACACACAGGCCCACATACAACAGCACACACATGTGCACCCACAACACACACAAACATGCACAGGGCACAACATGAGGCACCCAAAAGAAGAGGAATCTGGCATACAAAGAAATTTATAGACCTGTCTAAGGTCCATGACTAGAATATTCCAAGGGTGGCACTCAGATGCAACCCACCTGGTTCCAGAGACCAAGATTTTAATAGCACTGCACCATGAGATTCTAGAGATTATTGGGTATGAAATTAGTTTAAAATGAGAGATCATTATAAGATTGAAAAGTTCATTTATTTTTCTCTTCCCAAATTATGCACCCAAGACCACATTAAGCATTTTTACTTAATGTGTTTTTTTCCCCCAGAGGAATGTTTCCTAGTGTTATCACCTCTACGGAAAGGTTTTCGTTAGGGAGAATATGCCCCCTACGATTATTGGAGGTCATGATTCCTCTTTCTGGTAGCTCTAGATTCTGTCCTTTGTGAGCTGTTGACTCACTTTTCAACCCCTGGCCAGACCTTCTTGCACCTCCATAATCCCAGCTGGAAAATTAGGTAGATGAAAAACATGACCTCATTAAGAAACAGATGCCTCTTCTGAGCTGCACCTTCCCAAGAAAACACATTACAGTGCTTCTTGGGACATTTTTGTAGAATGTGGTACTGCTGTGTCCCCTTGACTATTGGTTAGTTTGGGATCAGGAGACCAGAACTTGAAAGTCAGTTTAATTTGCAGACCAAAGTTTAGCAAAACACTCAGTTTCCTTCCTGAGGTCAGTGTTGCCCGGTAATACCTGAATGGAATGAGAAGCTAACCCAGAGGTTCCCTTGAACGTAATGTGTCTCAGCTGAGGCTGTGGCAGAGCTGGTGTGGCTTTCCTTGAATTCACGATGTCCTGAGTTCCATATCCAGTGCTGGATAAAGCAAGAGTGTGAGCACACACCTGTGGTCTAGCCTTCAAGTGGCAGAGGCATGAGAATCAGAAGTTCAAGTTTATCCTTTGCTGTGGACCAAGCTTAAAATGCCAGCCTAGATTAATTACAACCTGCCTTTAAAAAAGAATGTCTGCCTTTCCCTAGGTGCATATGTTTTTTTTTTTTTTTTTTTTTTTTTTTAACTCCAGATTCACTAGACAAGAAGGTGAGAGCATCCTCAAGTGTCTATTTGGAATATAAAAAATGAACGTCAGTAAGTTATCACCCATTCGCCAGGGTGTAAAGAAGGCTAACAAAACCGCTAACGCCGTTTTCTTTTTGGCGTTTTGTGAGTCTACTATTTAAAATGGCTCTAAATACATAAACAGATATTTCCTTTATACAAAAGTTGGGTCTTTAATATGACCCCCTGAGTGTGAATGGCCACTTCCAAGTCCATCTCTACCTCTTGGTTGGGTACCCTATTTGACTAAGGGAACTCCCCAAAATATATTTTATCATTCTAAATTGCCTGGAATCCACCGTACTCTTTCATTCCTATATGCTGACTCCTAAGAGGGAAAAAAAATACATCTTCACAACTCCAAGGGAAAGGATGGCCTTTTTCCATTTGCCTGTGGACCCAAGCCTCTTGACCTCTAACACCTCACTGCTGCACAGACTACACTGCGCTCTTGCTCAGAAGATACAGGGGGAGGGGAACAGCTAGCTCAGGCTATGTACACATTCACGGGTTCACTTCCACAGATGATTCTTCCTGGGCTGTTTTGCCCTCTGGGTCATGAATATCTAAATCACACCCAGTGCTCACTTTAAACATCTTCGTCGTGGTGATTCCCAAGCTAACTTCCCCCGAATAAGCAGTTGTCTGAAGAATTAAAACCCATCCTTGTCAGTCAGATGTGTGTGCATTTTGCGTCTCCTTCATAGCTGTTTGAAATCCATGACTGTCAGCTGTGACGTTAAAGCTGAAATTTCCTAGATTCTGGATTGTCACGTCCTACAGTGTCACCTGTCGCATAGCATGAGCACCTCATGCGTCTGTCTGTAACTTATTCCACGTCTCAATGATGCTGCTGGCAAATTTCAGACTGACATTAAATGTCTTCACACCACTGACTGGGGACATGGGTTTTAAACACACACGGTGTCTGCTGTTTGTGACCTTCAGTATGTGTGTCTACTCTTCCCTCAAGAGCATCTGACACCTCGGCCGCTGCTCCTCCTCTTCTTCAACTCCTGCCCAGCTCTGGAGGGGAAGTGACATGGGTCTCTCACAGTACATTAGTTCCAGCTACTTGGGAACTGGCTGCCTCTTTGTGGGGTGCTTGAACTGTCCCTCTGGAGCCATGACTCCTGCCACCCATGAGAGAACAGCCTTTCCCCAGGCAGCTTACAGGCTTTCTTCATGGTGGACTGAGCGTTTTTAAATGCCAGTCTTCCAGCCAACACTCCAGCCGCATTTCTGTCTAGTTGGAGGAATCTTACAAAATGCAGAGGTGGAGATCCGATTTGTTAGTGTTCGGACTGGCAGTCTTTTCTGGTTGAACTTGCCTAAGTGTGTCTTTCACGGCAACTAACTTAGATGGCTAAATTTAGAGACCATTAAAAGTCACAGTATGATATGAAATAGCATACTAAACGATTTATTAAATCATGCTAAAATATTTTGAAAATAAACTGCCTGGTGGACAGAATTTAAATTTTTAAGTTCCTAGGAGTTATAGGAGTTACCACTGTGTGTGTCAGAAACAAAAGCAAGACACTTTCTTCAAATCCTCAAAGTGAATTTGATGTTTGCCATACATACTATATTTTAAACCATAAATCCAAAATACACCCTCCAAATGAAGTGAAAAATCCCTCGATGCAATAATAAAAATGCCTTTGGAAAATGCTATTTATATCAGTTTGGAAGGAAAACTTCTGGCTTCATTAAACATGTGTGACTATCTTAAAAAATATAATGCAAAAAGCACATATTGTTAAATTTGAAACATGGATTTGACTAAATATCCTGTTACTGAGGTTTTATTGGGCACATTTCCCTCTTTCCTTTCTTATGACACAATGCAAGTCCCTACTATGAAACTTCCAAGCAGGTTCCACTGTTAAAGTTTTTGTTTTGGAAAAGTCCAGGGACCGCAGGGTGAATTTTCTCAACATGTGCTGGATAGAGTAAGTAATTTTCAACAATGTTAATAAATATGTTTTCTGTGGATTTTGACACCCTTTAAAAAAATATCTGCATACCCCTCACAAATTGGAGAGGCCCTTGCCAATCTTGCTTCCCTTGTTATTTGGGGCATACTTCACAAATAGTGACAGGTATTCGGGCTACTGATCAAAGCCGCTATAAGTTGAAATGGAGAGGCTTTTCAGAAAAAAAAAACATCTCGCTTGCCCAGTAAATTCTGTAAATTCTGCTGAAGGCAATAACCAAATAAATAGCATAAAATATGTGGAGAATTAGAAGGTCACTGACCTGCAGCCACTCCATTGCAAGCACGAGGGCAGTCAGCTGCGTAGTGAATAATTTTGTTATGAGGTGTTGGTGATTTAACAAGTTGGCCCAAAGTAGCTGGAATGTGGTGGGAAAGACTAAGTCATCTCTGCTGGGCTGTATGGCTCTACATTGACTGGACTCTTGATCGGATGGCCAGAGTTCCTGCGTTTTCTGTGTAAGAATTTCAGGAAAAAGTGACCAGTCTGCTGTACTGTCTTATTCATGACCTTGGGAGTTTTATAGGACTCTGAGAGCTTTGCTGAAATAACTACTTCTAGTGGGATATTCACTTTGTCTCCTTCTGTGGCAATGACCACGCCCATTGGGGGGTGGAGCCAGGGGCGGAAGTGACCTGTGGAAGGAGGTCTGAGGGGGAGCTGCGGAATGCTCTCTTGCTGGCGGTTCTGCTCTCTCCAGACTCTCTATCTTGACTCCTCCTTTCTACTTCCTCTTTCCTCCTTGTCTCCTAGTCCCTCCTCTCTTGCTTTCCTATTGGCCAACAGTGCTTTACTAATTAACCAGTATTAGAAACATACTTACACAGTGACATCTCCTAACAACTACTTACTTGAATTCTTTTTACAAAGCCGTTTGGATTTATAGGAGAATGTCAATGTAGCCTTTAGGCTATGGAAAAAAATGATATTGAGTAACAAGAAGCAATTTACTCAGATTATAAGAATTTAAGTGTACCGAAGCACCCTGGATAGATGAGGATGCAGCAGTCAATGCAAGTATTCAAGGATTAAGTGCACACATATACTGGCCTTGGAACCATCACTCTTCTTGGCATCTGGTTCCTCATCCATCACTAGCATTCCAAAATGAGTATATTGATTTTGTTATGTCCATAACACAATAGAGATGAACATGTTTTAAAAATGGATTCTTTGTGAGACGAGTAACTATCTACAATTCACTAAATAACTATATATAAAACACAGCGTGGACAGGGATGAGAGATGGCATTTTATGCAGCAAGGAGGCCTCTAAATGTTACTTTTTATTTCTTTTCTATCTCTGGGTCATCTCAGGGAACTATTCTATGTACTGAATGAAGAAAACAGAAGCCACTGGCATCCAAAAACCACCCACTGTTTGCTGCATGCATAGCATTAAGACAGATTAAAAAGATTTTAGCTGTAGATGCAGAAAAGGTACTTTGATCTTCTGGGGTTTGTAGCTGATGAGAGAAGGCAGAATACTAACAATAAAGATAATGTGTGGTGAGGGCTGTGACATAATCCCATAGAAGCCTCCCAAATTCATGATTCTAAATGAGGTTTTACATGTCAGTTAGCATATGTGATCCAGATGGACTTTGGGATTATCTACTTCTTCATGTATGTTTTCAATTTCCATCCAAATGTTCACCCAAAGAAACTACTTCATAACATCATACAACTTCCATATGCCAGGAGGGTCAGTCTGGATGTGCAGACTGTTACACTCATCATTGATTAGATGCCATGGGGGTAGGGGCGCTAACTACTTGTTAGGTGGAAATAGAAATTCAGCATCATCTGCAATTGGCAATTCCCCTCTTCCTTGTGGCACTCACATTCTTGGTTCTTCTCCCTAGGACATCTACTTGGCCTCTCCCATGACGATTCCAAATTCTGTGAAGAGAATTTTGGTTCCACAGAGGACAAGCGTTTAATGTCGTCAATCCTCACATCAATCGATGCATCTAAGCCATGGTCCAAATGCACTTCAGCCACCATCACAGAGTTCCTGGATGATGGTCATGGTATGTAGCTTTAAGGACAGCACAGACTAACAAAAACGAGTTCAGATTTTTGCACCATGATGGCCTCCTGATGCCCTGGTCATCCTGTGAGACAGTGGTTGCTTGGACAGTGTCAGGAAAAGAAGCGAGCAAATTGATTGTCTCTTGGCATGTAATGCCAGCATCCTTGGTGGCATTACAGCTATGGTAATTTGCTGCTGACTTAAAAAGTTCAAAAGGGAAACAGTGTGGGAGACCACACAGAATGCCTAGCAGTGGGTGCCCTGAAGGCCTGGCTTTTATTTCCTCTTTCACTAGTAAGTTCCTGTGAGAACACTGGCTGGCGTTTAGGTCTGCATGATATTAATATGTCTCAGAATCATTTGTTGCATGTCTATTATAGCAGTTTGATTAAATTGTAGGACATAATTCTACTGGGTTCTCATTATAGCAGCACAAAACTGGGAAAGGAAGCTCTCTAAATATTCATTGACTAGAAAAAAAATTTTTTTTGATTTCATCCTGACAGCAGATTCTCCTGGTAATGGAATAAAAACTACAGAACAAAAATAGCAAAGCCATGGTGGGGAAAGACTTCAAGAACTTCAAAGGAAAAGTTCTGGCTTTGTCCTTTACAGGCAGTTCAAGAGCACAACATCCTTTATTAAACTTTGTAAGACTAGGATTAGTGCTATAAGTCATATGAAAGTACAGAGGAAGTCACAATTCCTAGAAATAATAAATCCTACTCCCTAAGCAGTCTTCGAAACAAGCTGTTGCAAATTTCCTCTCATCTTTTACTGTTTTAACATCACAGAAATGTGGCAGGCTGAACATGCACAGTTGGAAGGAATCCTTGAGAGCATATACTTCAACTTTCTCATCTTTCAGAAAAGGGTGTGTCTGTTTTCTTTCTGCTCTCTTAAAATATGTCTCCTTCTGAAACAGGTGGCTAAGGTTTGGATTTTGAAGATAATAATTTCCATAAATAATCTTATGAGTTGTCCTTCAAAGTAAAGTCAAGAGAATCTATGATTACCATCTTTACCCTGCATTTCAAAAAGGTTTGATTTATAAACACCTGATTTCTCAATGTGTTAGTCATTTTGAACTTCGGCGAAACAATGCCAAAATAATTAATAAATTAAATTCATTTCAAGCACAGGGATGTTTGTGTTGTGTAGCCAAAATATGTTCATCTTACTTCATGTTTCCCTGTATATATATTCGTGCTGAAATGGTAAAGCTCTTGTGGATACTAGAATTTGCATCTCATAATCTTAAACATAATCTAGTTCCAGCCTTGCTTGGAAATTCTCCTGATAGCAGCATGGTAGTACAAGCCTGCAGCCTGGGGTACTCTGCAGCCCGGGGCAACAGGATTGAGAGGTCCAGGGCAAACTTAGATGCAGAGCAAAGCCATGCCTCAAAAAATAATTGATTTTATTTTTTGCAATGTCAAATAAATACCCTCAAGAGGAGAAGACACACCCCATAGTTTAAAGACTTAGAAACATGACTAAGACTCATCTATCTTTCCCTTAGGCTAAAATACAATGGCTCTTCTCTTTAGTTTGGTTATCATGCCAGCCAAATATTGGAGTGGATGCTTCTGTAATCATCTAGTTCTCAGTGCTGAGCAAGTCACTACCTGAGAAAGTCTCCAGTAGAATCTTAACTCTTTATTCTTGATGCTACCCTTACTGTTCTGTCTTTTAAGAACTAGCATGAGTATTTTACTTTGAAATTATATATTGCACATTCCAAAAGGCTGAGCTCAACTCTGGATCTCTAAATGAATGGATCAAGTTGTTAAGGCGGCAAAACCAGGCAGCTTTTCACCCCGTGTAAGCATTAGCTCAGTCACAAAGCTGTGTACAATTGCATCCTTTGACTGTAATTTTAGAAGGATTCCCTTATTTCATGACCCCGGAACTCAAGGTATTACTTTCACTGCAATAACTATGCTTGTAGCATTACTTTAGCTTTTAGCAGTATTTCTACATAGCAGTATTGCTATGCTTGTTTTTTTGTTTGTTTGTTTGTTTTCTGTTTTTTTGTTTTTATTTAATTTTCACCAAACTTGCATCCTTTTGCATCAGTTCCCGTTCAAAAGGATTTTTGATGGAGACCAACTAAGAACACGGTTATAGTAGAAATAGATCATATTCACTTGCACTAGTAAATATTGTCTGAGTCTCCCAGATGTGGGCAAACAAAGGAATTGTCAGAATTCTTTGGACAAGAAAAGATTTACTTACTTGTAGTCAAATCTGGAGACTTTCATTTTTTAATGTGTTGACTTCTGTTAGGTGGCCTTTCATTTCAACCAGAAATGAAAAATCATATGTGTTTTCAATTTCTTATGATGATGAAGGTAGTTTCAGAATAAGGAAAAATAAAGAGAGGTGGTATGCAGTGAGACCTGAGTCATAGCTCCTGTCAAAAGATCACAAGCAGATGTAGTACTCCAGTAGTGGCTCTCTAGCTCTGTTACTTAAATGAAAGCTCAAAGAATTCAATAGCCATGTAATTTTGATTTTAAAATGCCTACAAGTCAGTTTAAGTGAGAGTAGGTAACAAAAACTGGAAAACCCATTTTTTAGATGATTGGAGAGCTGACATTTGAACTATAAATGTAAGGAATCAAGGAAAAATCCAAAGCTCAAGATCATTTTAAAACAAGCACAGAGAGACACATTGGTTCAAAGTATAATAGATTTCATCACAGCATACCACTTTTTTTTTCTTTTTATTAAAACTTGTGGTCAGGATCTAATGTTCTAGGCCACTAAAACTATTAGCAACTCTGTACTCATAGGCATGGGAAGACTTCACATAGATAAACTAAGGGCAAGTGACCTCATTTGACAATAAAGAAACAACAAAAATAAGTAAACTGCAGAGCTAAAACCAACCAACCAACCAACAAACTAAAAATGTGTATGTAGTAACTTGGTCCTGTTTTCCTAAACATCAACAATGGGATATCCATCATGCTATCTTACTCCTGGAGAGACTTGCAGACACTGGTCAGATGCAGTACTTCTTGCAGAGGTAAGATGGACTTTCAGTTACTCAGGGAAGTTGAATTGAGACACTCAGACAAAGGCAGCAAAACATGCCACGTTTAAGCAGGCACTGTCACAAAATGTGTTCAGTGTTTCGAGGGCACCCAAAGAGCACATGACCTGGAAACATGTGCTTGGTGTGACATCGCATCCTTCCAGCTCAAGCTCTCTGTCCTGCCGGCCAGCAGTGTGCTGAAGCAAAGAGAGGCTAGAGTAAAATTAAACTCAAAGCATTGAATTTATTTTTAACAGTATTAGCCATAAGTAGCTGGACATTTGTGTAGCACTCTACAGCTGCCAGATTTAAATTCATTAGTACTGAGTGCTTCCTGACTTAGGTCCAAGGAGAAATGCGCAGTGGATTGGTTATGACTGGGAAGCCAAAGTGCACACTCTACAGTAACTGTATCTGGGGACTTGTGATTCAGAACAAGAGTCGTCTTGCCTCACGGAACTCCCCCACCCCTGGCCAAGGGCTTTGGAGAAATGTGGCAGTGTTTATGCAAGTTAGCTGAACTCAATCAAGCTGGCTGGGAGTGCAAGCCTTGGATGTAGGGATAAGCACGGGCAGAGAAATTGTGCAAGGAAGGCAGGTTATTGAATTTCCTTCACAAAGACTTCCTAACCTTGAGTGAGGCCCAAGGAGATAGCGTTGTTTGCAACTTCCAGAAGTCTTCTGCCAGACGATGAGAAAGACCTAGTGCGTACAGCTCAAGGACACCAGCAACCTAGGATGAAAGGGAGATATGTGTGGAGAATTAGCCCAATTATCTCATTTATTTAAAGAACTAAGGCTATGGCCACTCAATGAGAACAGAACTTTTGACAATAATAATAATAATAATAATAATAATAATAATAATAATAATAAATAATGGAATACTATCTGTTAATTTCCAGCTTCAGGAATAGCAATAAAGATATAAAGCTTTAAGTTTTTAAGGTGAAATTAAGAAATTTGAAGTCTATTGTGGCTATCTCTTGATTTTTCACAAAATAATGTGTGTTTGTTTTTTGAAGATGTGACCCATGATGAGCTGTGACTTAAAGCTTTGTATCAATGCATATTAGGGAGAATGCTTAACGTCACCCCCTCCATGGTATACATGATGATGAGCATGTGATGCTTCCCCCAGATGCGGGTCCCAGAGTTACTTTCAGTCAACATCATCTGTTCCTTTGCTAATGTTCTTGTTCCTTTATCCTGGGAAAGTAAGAAAATGCACTTCTCACTGCTAATGTTAGACATTCCTCCAAGGGCCTCAGGGAAGGCATGCAAAGACTAGAAGCTGAATCTAGAAATAATGGAGTGGAGTGCAGAGAAAGTGCTGTGAGGTCTCAGATGCTTATTCAGAATCATTCATTGAGTTTTTCCAACCTGCAGATACTTGACTTCAATCTTATACCAGAGTGACAAAAGGGAAGATGGAAATAACTGCAGTGTTAAAAATAGAAAAAGATGAAACCATTAAATAAAAAAAAAAAAACAACAAACTTAGTCCCATAATTTCTATGTATCATTAGCAAGGAAGACAGCCCTAAACACCTGAGCCTTTTAGGTTCTATTTCCTGGAGGCAAGCTGGATCTTCCTTTATTTACTGGGTGCTATAGAACCCAAGGAGAAACAACCATTCTTTCATTTACCCTTTTCAAAGAAGTCTGGTTTTTAGTTGTTGGTCTTATTTCATATTTTTAACCTTGTGTACAAGGGAGAACATGTATACTATGCATGCCTGCTGACCTCCCATTTTCTATACGCCAACTACGTGAGTAGAAGAGAGGAAGGAGAGAAATGGAAAGAAGGAAGGGAAGATGGCACAATTTGGCAGTCTTGAACAGAACAAAACCCAGGTAGAATTTTGGACTATTTACAAACTTTTTAAACACAAAGTGGTTATGAAGGAGTGGCCAAAAGTAAGAATGAAACAGATAAAGAAAACGTCAACAATCAGTTGCATTCCAATAAAGGTCAAAATGAAAATGTTAAAAGAGTGATGGTTTCCTAGTTTCAGTCTACCTCCAAGCCATATGCACTTCTAAAAGTGCAAGACACAGATTGGATAATCCATTATTGCATCATTTTTAAATATTGTGTACTGTGAGCTTCATAGTCAGACACTGTAATGTTTTTTGCCATTTTCTGGCATAAGGTTTCCATGTGGAAGAGATGTCTGTACTATTCCGTTACAAAAGGAAACCATTAAATATAAAGCAAAGCTACTAAAGTGTATGCTACAGAGTAAGCAGAGATGAAAGCAGAAATAAATCTTTAAAAAATATCAACAAGTTAATGTCAATCATTCAATGAAGGAAATAATTTTATTCTAAAGAAAAAAATGTCACTTCCATGAGACCGCTAAAAACAGTTACTTTAATTGTATTGAGTTAAGCATTTTTAAAGACCTGTCTCATTTTGAAGTGTGCTTAGCAAAAATCGATTCCAAGTTGCTAGCAATCTACATTTCTCATCATCTGCAAATTAGGGTGGGTATTGGTGACTGGTTACATATCAATCATGAGATGATCACTTACTCTGGTTCTTTATAAAGAAGATAAAGCCACACCATTTTTTGTCTATACATGGCTAATTCTCTCCAGCTAACACCTTGTTACACAGAATGGTCTGTATTTTTTAGGGAAAAAAATGAAAGCAAACAAACACTGAATCCAGCACTTTTGAAGACCTGGAAAGCATTCTCGCTGATTCTGAGATTTGTTGAGTGCTCTAACATCAGCATCTGCTAAGGCTTTTCTGATATACACAGCAGCTGTTTCATGGAGCAATAAGATGACATTTTCCCAGAGTTCCAAAGTGCCTCTCTTCCTCAGTGCGGCTACGAACACTTAGTGGGGTTTTACTATCGTTCCTTCCCTTTGACTCAATGGTAATGTTTTCCTTTTAACTTGATGTTTTTCTCCCTAAGTTCTCTTTGGCGAGATCCTCATTTCTAATGCTTTTTCTGGCTGGCCTTAAAGAGCTTTACCTCTTCAAATGCTCTGGCTCACTTAGATTGGAACTTTGCTATTTATTCATTTTCATATAATGCATCTATCACAGTTGGACAAATAGTGTGCGGTGCTCTCTTTGTAGATGCTTGAGTGCAGTTGTAAAAATGTTTGTAGTACATTCAAAATATGCTGAATAGTTATTTTCTCCACGTAAATAAGGATTCGAATATGAAAGAGTTTGTGTTGAATAGAAGGCACTGACTTTCAGTTTGATTGAACATAAAACCAACTGTCATTATTTCAACTATTTCTGTTTTCTTTTTAACTTTTCAAAACTAATTCTACCTTTACAATACATAGTTAAAAGAAGTAAACATCTCACAGATCCCAGAAATAAATTAGAGAGAAGTTAATGAACTTGGCTAAGAGCACACAAACATGTGGCATTTCATCAGGATTAAATGTTAGGCCAGCTCTTTCTAGCATTAGGCACAACATCAGTCATTTGTGTCAGTCCCAAGAACAAAAGACATCTTTCTATATGCCTAACAGAGACAAGAGGATGGCAACCGCTGAGCACAAAGTCCTAATAACTAGGTAACATTGTATAAGAATTGACAATTTATTATTTCTTGACTTGTCTTTAAGATGAACAAAAAGAGTAAACCTCCTGGGAATGAAAATATACACACACACACACACACACACACACACACACACACACACACTGTTATAGTCAGCATGTATGTGTGAGTTGTATAATCAGGTAAGAAAAATAATAAAATCACAGCAGCCAGTGGGCATCTGTGCCTGAGTATATGGTAAAGAAAAGGAATGAGTTCAGCCCACTGGGCCTGCGTTCTTAGGGACACATTTTGAGTGAAAAAGGGACAGTCCAGATTTTGTATATTCTTCACGGCATCCCACTTGCCTGACCCCATTCTAAACTTCAGCTGTTTTGGGCTGCCACTCTGAATACCCAATGAGCCTATGGTAGATAGACTTAATAGGGAAGCAAAGGCAAAGCTTAAGACTTTTCTGGTCTAACTTACCAAAGATTGTTTGTTTGTTTGTTTTGTTTTTCTGATCACTATTTTATTTCATGGATCTTGAAAGCCTTTTATTACAAAATTTTATTACCTGTATGTGAGAAATATTTATTTAGTTTCTCTTTCCCTTTAGTGTACCAGAATAGAGTTTGCTCTGTTTTTTGTTGTTGTTTGTTTGTTTTTCTTCTTCTTTCTTGACACCTCTTATGTGCCTAGGACATCCTTGGTATTCAATAAGCACTTACTCAATGAGTGAAAATGTGAACAATGACCTCTGATGTTGTTAAGTTTTATTAGTGGCAAGGAGGCCAGCACATGGGGAAGAGGTGATTGAAAACTGGTGAGTGGGCTGTGTCATCAAGAAGGAACTGCTCAGAGCTGTAAATGGAATCGTTACTATGAAGCTCACCATTAGAGGAGTTCCTCCATGACCCTCCTCATTTCCTCCATGACTGTTTTCACAACTAAATGTAACTAAACAGCGGTATAGGAGACTAGCACTCACAGCCTCAAACTCCATCATTATAGCCACTCCAAGAGTGCATTATTCTAAGAGAATTCTAGAATCCAAACAGAGAGCCATCCCTATTCACTGCATCCCCAAGTCATTTCTGGTGACTTGTAGGTAGGTCATGTTTTGGTACCTGCCAGAAGAATGAATGTTTAGGTCCCTGATCATACTTATTTGAAACCTCAGCCGTGGTTGATTCTGAATCCTGATTACTCTCTTAGGTAACTGCTTGCTAGATCTACCACGGAAGCAGATTCTGGGTCCTGAGGAACTCCCGGGTCAGACCTATGATGCTACCCAGCAGTGCAACTTGACCTTTGGGCCTGAATACACTGTGTGCCCTGGCATGGATGTCTGTGCCCGGCTGTGGTGTGCCGTGGTGCGCCAAGGCCAAATGGTGTGCCTGACCAAGAAGCTGCCTGCTGTGGAGGGGACGCCCTGTGGGAAGGGCAGAATCTGCCTGCAGGGCAAGTGCGTGGACAAGACTAAGAAAAAATATTACTCAGTAAGTGCTTTTGCTTGTCAACTACAGCCTCAAGACCCAATTCGGGAAGTGCTTTTCTGGATGTGCATGGTCTTTGTCATCACAGGGCTTCATTTCCTAGCTAAAAGGTTCTTTCTTTGAATCATCTAGTCAAGCTCCATTTCCTACCCACAGCAGCCCTTCCAGTAACCAAACACAGGAAAACACGCTAGTAACAGAGATTTCTTGGCCAATTACAGCATTTCACAAATAAACCCAGATGGGCATGCAAAGTGGAGCCTGTATGGAGCATTTTGGAAGCTCACTCTTAAAATCCTCCTGCTAAAGTTACCAGAACATGTCTTCCAAAGTTCATGCAGAAACAGGGGCAGACACTATGGTCCTTCATCATGTTTTCTAAGGTCACAAATGGTCACTCTTTCCTAGCAGAAAATTCATGTAATGCTAGGAGCTATGGTACCCGAGAGGCTGTCACCAAGACATACATACACAATGCAACACATAGTCCGCATTGCCTGAATCTTGTCATACAACCTGACACAGGCAACCAGGTTCTTATATTTTCTAGTCAAAATAGCTGATGATGTCACACCTGTTATATTCCTCAGATTCCTCCTGCAGTGTCTCCATGAGAAGAAACCTAGAATTTGGTTCCTAGGTTCATCTTTCCATGTGGAGTGTGGGGGCGCATAGGCTGAAGTTGCCCTTCATTCTCTGTCCCATATAATTAGGAATGTAGCCAAGCCCAGCTCAAATGCATTCATGTGTGAGGCAGAATCTGCATAGAAAGAATGTGTGGTGACAGCAAAGGGACTGAAGAATTTTAGGACTAAATAGAAGGAAAGAAATGTAAATCGCCAACATCTTACAAAGCCATCAGTATGATGCATTTCATTGTTGGTCCCAGATGAAAGTAAAAAGAAAGTTATAAACAAGGGTTTTACAGTATCAGAAGACAAGATATAAAATGACTGGGGGAAACAGGATTTAATCCTTGCCATGTGCTCATTACTTAGGGTGACACTTTTGATCCTTTACTGCTAAAAAAAAAAAAAAAAACAAGGTCCCGAAGTAGATGACTTGCTAAGTACTGGAAATGGGCTGCAATTGTAGTCTAAGTTTCCACTGGGATGATATATATGCAAGTGACTACAATGTACATGTGGGAAATTTCCCCAGCAGAGTTAAAAGATCTTCTGATTTCTGTTTCAGACATCAAGCCATGGAAACTGGGGATCCTGGGGCCCCTGGGGCCAGTGCTCTCGCTCATGTGGGGGAGGAGTACAGTTTGCCTATCGCCATTGCAATAACCCTGCACCTCGAAACAGTGGCCGTTACTGCACAGGAAAGAGGGCCATATACCGCTCCTGTAGTGTCACGCCCTGCCCACCTAATGGTACGATGCCCCTCAAACTCAGGAACAACATGCGTCATGTGCAGTCCCTATGTTAGTAGAAATAAGTACGGGAGACTGGAGAAGTAGCATTACTCTTATAGTGGATAGATCCACTAATATGTAATTTAATAACAAATATGGGAGTGGTTTTTAAATTATTATCACAGACAACAGTGTCTCCAAGGGACCGGGAGAAAGCACCTGATTTCACCCCTGTGTATAGCAAGGCACTTCAAACATTGCTGCATAAAGAGGTCTTCAACACAGAAATCATTAACATTTTCTCTTAAAGCTAATAAAGGCTATGAATGTTACGCGTTTCGTTTCTAGGTAAATCTTTTCGTCAAGAGCAGTGTGAGGCCAAGAATGGCTACCAGTCTGATGCTAAAGGAGTCAAAACTTTTGTGGAATGGGTCCCTAAATATGCAGGTGTCCTGCCAGGAGACGTGTGCAAACTTACCTGCAGAGCCAAGGGCACTGGCTACTACGTTGTCTTTTCTCCGAAGGTAACTAACTACCTCTCTCTGCCCAGAACAGTAGGCATCCTGGGTGGAAATCACTTCATAGAATAAAGTCTATAAATGTCAAATTGACACAGTCATGATTTTCAGGACTGTTAGATTTGGAAGGGTTTCAATTCCATCTCTGTAATTTCTGTGTTTTCAAACTTTGTACACGGAACAAGTACATGCTTTAACAAATGCATTTGAAAAGCGTAGTTTTCCCATTGTTTGGGAAAATAAATTATGATACTAACTACAAAATAGTCTGTAGCAAAAATGTACTTTCCAGACAAATATTATAAGAGGACTATTGGGAAGGAAGATTTCTATTTTCTAGCTATTTAAGGATGAATTCAGTCTTTAAGATAGGTTTTAAAGTCATTGTCTCTGACCTATGACTCAGAATAAATCTTAGACCTTTGCCATGATTCAAAGTTTTTTTAGTCATTAAAGTATCAGATACATATGTGGTCATCCCTTAATTTTCACAGATAAACCTTTTCTGAATATGCTAAAGGGATTTTTTCATTATTTTTTGTATTATGCAGCAATTTACAAACACCATTTATCAAATTTTCAAACATATGGCACTTTTAGAACACCTCTGAAACCAGCCTTCTGTTGTATATGTAGACCTATGTCTCTCTACCATATACCACTGAAAAGTCAGCCAATATCCAATTCATGTGTATATTAATGTAACTACTTACTTGTGAAGTATTATATTTCCTTAAAACATTACATTGAAATAAAAAAAAAAAAAGACAACCGTTGGCAAATAAAGACATTTTGCTTCCCTTTACAAATAAACACAAAAATCACAAATCTGAAAGAGTCATATGTACACAAATTTAAAATATATATGCACATGAGCACACAACAGCTTCATATACTATTTCCTTCATTCAAAACCAAGTGCTTACTTTATTTTCAAGCCTTTCTGAAACACCCTTCCCCAGGTTCTGTTTCCTACGCAAATCAGTTTGTCGTTACTTTGACACCTGAAAATTCAACACACAATGACAATGATAGGGTCTTAAATAATTCTAAATTTTCAAATTTACTGCTAAACTAACAGCTACACACAAACCTTTGCATTCTGAAGTCTGCTAATGATAGTCTCCCATGAAGTTAAGATTTTTTTCGTCAATGTAAAAAGCCAAGATGATATTGTCAGACTGTGCTATGAATACAAAAATGGAGATTTGTGACTTGGATCACCAGTCATATCAGGCAAGAAGTTCAAGGGAAAAAAAAGTGCATAACCAAGTATTCTTAACGAAAATATATTATGTATATATTTTTTCACCTAGAAATTCCTGGAAACTGAATGGTTGATTGCTTTCTTATGGTTTAGTTTTTATGACTTATTTTTTAAGTGTGTGTGTGTGTGTGTGTGTGCATGAGAGCGGGTGCCTGGTAAGTCCAAACTCGTTGAGTGCTGATGGGAGATGTCATTCTGTATATGTTTCTCATATTGTTTAATAAATAAAGCACTGTTGGCCAATAGGAAAGGAAGATAGGAGGGACTAGGAGACAAGGAGGAAATAGGAAGTAGTAAGGAGGAGTCAGCATGGAGAGCCTGGAGACAATAGAACCGCCAGCTGCCTCTCGCTGGTAAGACCACGTGGAAATACATAGAAATGGGTTAATAATTAAGACAGAGCTAGCCAATAAGAAACAAGTAACCAGGCCAACAGCATTATATCAAATACAGCGTCTCTGTGTATTATTTGAGGCTGGCTCGGCGGTGGGACAAGACTAGGCGGCAGGCGGAAAAACCGTACTCATTACAGGGTGCTCTGAAGCTGTAGTTACAGGTGCTGTGAATTAGTGTAGGAATAGCACTTGAATCTGCTCTTAACCTCAGAGCCATATCTAGCTTATTTTTTAATGTAAAATGTATTAAAATAAAAAGCTCAGAAATTACAACTTTTTCTTTAAGTGAAAGAACAAAATCCCAGAGCCCAGATATCCCTGTTGCTGATATCTTTGTCATAAACAGGTTACAGATGGGACTGAGTGTCGGCCGTACAGCAACTCTGTGTGTGTCCGAGGAAGGTGCGTGAGAACTGGTTGCGATGGCATCATTGGCTCAAAGCTGCAGTATGATAAGTGTGCAGTTTGTGGCGGGGACAACTCCAGTTGTACAAAGGTTATTGGAACCTTCAACAAAAAAAGGTAACATAACTGCCCCACCTTAGCCTCACGTGAATTCAACAAGGTTTTAGACGCCTGGGAAGTTGATATAGGAGACTAGCATTAGCTCATCAAATGTGGTTGGAGAGATGCTTTATGCATATGAGAAGGGTAGGAGAAAAGCTGCATATGTCTCTGTGGCTGATGAAAACTTTAACTGCCTCATGAAGCAGATAAGCCACAACAGCTGTGGAGACAAGATCTTAGGATGAGAGAGCAAGAGGAAAGGGGACACTTCCATAAAGTGGTACCCAACAATGTGTCATCCCTAAAGGATGCTTGACTACAGCATTAGCTATTTTCATATGTTTAAGTTTTATTTTATGTGTATGGGTGATTTGTCTGTGCACCGCCTCTATGCCTCGTGCTGGAGAGAGCCAGGAGAAAGTATTTGGTTCCTGGGAATGGAAGGTGCAGAAAGTTGTGAGCTGTCATGTGGGTGCTAGGAACCAAGTCCTGTGGAAGAGCATGCACAGTGCTCTCTTAACCACTGAGCCATCCTTCAGCCCCTTTATGATATTTCAGATTTATTCTTTGAATATTTCACGCATGTATACAATGTATTTTGGTCACACCCACATCTATTCCTCCAAATTCCACTGGATATACTTGCTTCCCGACTTCACATTTTTTCCTTATTCCTCCCTTCCTTCATTGCTTCCAAAGATTGTGTTTTTTGTTTGTTTCTTTGTTTCCTTTTTTCTTTTTGAGGCATGTCCTTGCTCTGCAGACCAGGGAAAGCTTGACTGTCTGGTCATCCTCATGCCCCTGTTCTGGGATCCCAGGTATAATCCACCAATCCTGGCTCCCTTTTCTATCATTATGGCAAACAAATTCTAACTGAACAATTTGTTTTTCTTAAGAAAAGATTGCTCCCTGCAAAATGGAAGTTAATTGAGATGCTGTGGCAACGAGCCCATTTTACAGGGAATGCTCTGGTTTCTGTCCACTCCATAAGCACAGACACACAGCAATGTCTCCTGCTACCACACTTTTGTTCTAAACATGTAAGACTATAAATTACAGTTTCTGGGCTCAAATATAACAGTGCCTGATTTAGCTAACATGTCTGACAGAATGCAGGGTTATCTGTTCTTTATGAAACCTCTCCCATGCTGTGTACATAGGTGGAGTGTGCCTGCATGCCAACATAGGCGTTTGGTTTTCTGTGGTTTGTCAGAGATCTGCTAAACACATCAACAAGAGTTTATTAAAAGTACTAAATATCACACTAACTTGAAAAACCACAAGTTATGTTTGATATGATGTTACAAGGCATGGCTCAGGAATTATTCTGACTATAAGTATTATCATAAATCTTGCTAAATGATGAAATCTGAATCATTTGATTATGTTGGACCATCTATACCAACCCTACAGACCCAGGAATATTTTGTGCCTCTCCACATTTCAAATATGCAAAACAGCTTACAGATTAGCACCTCCAACTTTTGCATTCCAGGTAAAGAAATAAAAACTTGGAAGTTTAAGAGTTACGTAGTTAACCATAATGGGTGATTGTCAGAGTAGAACCGAGGTTATAAATGAGGTCCTAGGTGTGTGGGAAGGAAGAAATTGACAGAAAAAGGGGACACGAAGGGGAAAGAAGGAAAGAAAAGAGGAGAGGAGGAGAAAAACAGAAAAAGAGAGAAGGAAGACAAAGAGAGAGAGAGAGAAACAATGTGACTTAGATGAATCTAATTTTAAGGTGATACCTCACATAGTGACCCTGTGTGAAAATGGCTTTTCAGAGTGCTAAATGGAACACACTTACAAGTTTTCTGTCTGTGACTGTTATATGTGCATTTCTCGTTGCATTCAATGATGAAGAAATTCATGATGAAGACAACTGATATGCATGAAATCTCCACCCTCAACAGTTAAATTTATAAAAGTTAAAATTCAACAAGGGGGCTGGTTTTTGATCCCAGCATTGACAAGGAAGAGCTTGTAATAAAGTCATTTAAAGATTTTTATTATATCCTCACATCATATACCTTTAGGGTAAAATGTGACATCCTCTCTAACAGTCATTCTGACCTTGAAGCCCTTGTAGGATTATGTATCATCTATCAATATTAGACACTATGAAAATGGCATCACCCTAATTTTGAATATCTCAACATAAACAGATATAATATAATATTATAGTGTGGATTTTTAATTTTATCTTATATAAAAAGCTTAAAGCCAATTTAAACTTAGGTTCTTAAATACACTAAAAGGTTATGTTTAGATGACAGACAACTTTTGGAAATTTCCTGTTTGTTTATCAGCATCTAGTCATGTACTAATTCTATCCCATTGCCTCTTTCTTTTCTTCACCTCACATGTGAACACTCTTGCCTACAGTAAGGGCTACACGGATGTTGTGAGGATCCCTGAAGGAGCAACTCATATAAAAGTCCGACAGTTCAAAACCAAAGACCAGACTAGATTCACTGCCTATTTAGCACTGAAGAAGAAAAGTGGTGAGTACCTTATCAATGGCAAGTACATGATCTCCACTTCAGAGACTATCATCGACATCAATGGTACGGTCATGAACTACAGCGGGTGGAGCCACAGAGACGATTTTTTGCATGGGATGGGCTATTCGGCCACAAAAGAAATTCTGATCGTACAGATTCTTGCAACAGACCCAACTAAAGCATTAGATGTCCGTTACAGCTTCTTTGTTCCCAAGAAGTCCACTCAAAAAGCAAACTCTGTCATTAGCCATGGCAGTAACAAAGTGGGACCACACACCGCACAGCTACAGTGGGTGACAGGCCCATGGTTGTCCTGCTCTAGGACCTGTGACACAGGCTGGCACACCAGGACGGTGCAGTGCCAGGATGGAAACCGGAAATTAGCAAAGGGGTGCCTTCTCTCTCAGAGGCCTTCTGCATTTAAGCAATGTTTGCTGAAGAAATGTTAGCCTGTGGTTTGTTCTCCTGCACAGAGATAACTGGAGGGTCGTCATAGATACAATTGTGGTGAAGACAAGGCCTAACCAAGGCACAGAAAGTAGTGCTTCAATGTCATTGTCACCAGGAGTCGACTTATGGGCAGAATCTGCTCTCTGTGACCAAAACATGTACATTGCTTCTCGTTATGATGGTGACCTTGAAATACAGAAAACGGGGAAGTTATGGAACATCCCTGGGCCTACACAAGAGAGACACACAGTGATGAATGTAGAATTGAGGACATCTGAAGATGGCAGAGAAGTCTTGTCACCTACCTCTTATAGAATGTCTTCAGAGGCATTGTGATCGTGTTCAATAATGACACACAGATTATTTTTACTGTTTGTAAATGCATCTGCCCTTGGAATGTCACTTTATATACTTGGTCCTATTAATATATATATAGTATATTTCTATTAAAAAAAAGTATTTGACCAAAGTAGGTCTGCAGCTATTTCAGCTACTGGCTTCCAGAAAGAGCTGTGGAAGATTTACTGGAAATTAAGAACTTGCTGCTGTTGAATAAGATTTTGTGTATTTTCTGACTACAGGAGATAACATTTTAGTCAAAAAAAAAAAAAAAAAAAGCATTTTGACAGCAAGCATCTTCTGAGAAATTCTAAAAGGGACAGGATCTGTGTATATCTGGTCATTTAAAAAAAATCCTCAGGTCCACATACTCTAACTTTGACTATCTGTGTTTTTTTCAGGCAGTCAGCCATTTTATTGTATTATTGTGGTGTAGAAATTGTGTTCTCCTGTGTATATGTGATCAATATCCAAGGGTCTCAATTAGTTTGCTTGTATTGGAATTTAAAAGGAAAAAAAATGTCACTGTGTTTTCAATTTGTAGTTTCACAACTGCTTATTTTCTGTGGCTCCCAGTTAATATTTCACAATGTGTAGTAAACATACACAACACACAACATCATGTTATCTGTCACATCGGACACCTTTGGACCAGCATACCTCTTCTCAGCCAGCCTTTAAAATGTGTTAGTGTTCGCTTATTTGTTTTTTCTTGACGGTTGGAAAAGACTTATGTTCCATATTGACTAGGTCTAACAGTAATGTTAAAGCCACTTCATGTTTAGTCTCCTCTAGAAGAAACAGTTGGTATTAATTCAATTACTTCAAAAAGTCAAACTCATTAGCATTAATAAGACTGTTGCTACACCATAGGCAATCATCTCACAATTTAAAAAATATAAACATATACCTACTGTATTAGACAATTTTCCCAATTGTAAAGTGTTTGACTATACCAGTGAGAGCATAGATAATGAAATGTAAGGGTTTCCAGGAAGTCTCCTGCTTTCGGAGGAAGGCTGCACATTGAAAATAGTTAATACTTATAAACAGAAAATATCCTTTAGATTATACACCGCACAACCCCCTCGGATAACTCTAATAATATGACATGTTTTATTCCACTGGGATTTCTATTTTTCTTTGTGAAATACAGCAAAGCAAATTGTTTTATGTAAATTTTATAGTGATCATACCAAATGTGCCTACTGTTAAAGATTTGTATATAAGGATTTTAAGAAATCCTGGTTGGAATCCCACTAAATGTATGAGAGTTTATTTTTATTATAGGATATTTTAATATAAAGAATTATGTAACTGATGACTCTATATCACCTTTATTTCAGCAGACCAGAAAGAAAAAAGGGAATCTTAATGTCTTTTATTTACACAATTATATTGTGAAACAGATCGATGCACTTCCAAACCAATCATCATCATTTAGAATCTCACACTCTGGTTATTTAATGGTACAAAGAGAGTGGATAGAGAGGTTAATAATGTAACTTTTTCCAGTTTTGAAAACAATATGAACCAAGTAGTTCAAATGAGACCAAGTTCATATTTTATCCTTTGTGCTCATGTTAAAAGAAAATAAATAAGGAGTAAGCATAATTGTCACCTACTCAACTTTCCTGTATGATCTTCATACTTTAATAGAATTTTTTTCAGTGGATTGCTTTTCCCTACAATAATGAAATTTCACTCTTTGGAATAGTCCCAGAGAATATAGAATGAACAAATCACTAGTCTATTGTCTGAAGGAATTCTTTCTCCATTTTAAAATGAGACCCCTACATTGACAAAACTCCTAAGGAAAGAGACACAGAAAACTAAGATTTGGAGAAGGGGGGTGTCAGGGAGGGAAATAGCAATGGGTGATGGGGGGAAACTCATGCTCAGTCCAGTTTGATTATGTGCTCTCTTCCATCTTTCTATTGTGTATCTTGAAAATTTTAAAGACATTGGATTTAGGATGATGAATAAGTGTGGTGGGAGGAGCCAATGCCCGGGTTATAATATTCCTAACCTCACTTGCATAAAAATCACTCCAGGATAAATTTCATTGAGTGCAAGAGAGCCCAGAACGAAATAAAGCCTTGTCCTTTTAGAACAGAAAAGATCACATTGACCCTCCTTGTTGCTCGGAAGTATAAGAACATTGCTATAATGTATTTAATATAGTCAACATCCATTGCCTTCATGTGGAAACAATTTGTAACTAAGAATTGAGGGATGGATCCCAAATGAACAACAACAACAAAAAAAAAGTTGCAGCACTGAAAAATAAGTAATTTATTGTTTTTGCAACTGCTATGTGAATTTCTGTGATGAAATTATTTATTCTTATTTAACAAAAATATGTGCAAATTCTTCTATATTTAAAGTGTTTTGCTATTGTCCTATTTTTTTAAGTTATGCTACTTGTTTGTGTATAAATTGCACTTTGTGAGTTTCTGTGATGTACGCCACTTGTGGCTTTTGTTTTGGTTTTTTACAGAAAGCTTTCTGTGTTAAAAGCAGGTGTATATGTGTGCATATTCCTCATATGTTTTTAATCTGCCACTCTCTGAAATTTAATCTTCCATGGCTTAGTAGTTCTCCTTACTCATCACAATACTATAGGTCATTTAAGTCTTATTAACATTGGCCTTTTTTTCAGGTCATAAGTTTAAAGATGTATATTTATTCAAGCAAGTTGCAAGTTTTTAAGTAGAGGACATAAATGTCTTATAAGCACCCCCACAGAAGGTGAGCCACAATAGACAGTCCGATTTAAACCAGTCTGAGTGCAAGCCTGCAATCCCAGCACTGAGGAGGCTGACATAGGAGGATCGTGAGTTTGAGGCCTGTCTGGCATACACAGAGAGACACCTGGGGAGAAGAAACAGAGTCAGTTTCATTCATGTCACTGATAAAGGTGTACAGGGAGCTGCTGATGCATTTTATGAAGGTTAGGTACACACAACATCTCAGTGGATTAAGGAATGGCAAACACAAAGTCTTGCAACTTTAGAAACAGCTCCCTAAAATGCTCTGATTTAGTATCTCATGTCTCTAGAGATTCTATAAATGATCTTAAACAAAATGTATTTGTGTGATTCTGATAGTATGGGTCACAGCTTTTTCTATGAGTATAGGTGGCCCCTGCATCATGTGACCTTTTACTAATATCAAAGTGTCCAGAGTGATACTGCCTGGAACCAGCAGGTACAGCTCTGGTAACATCAGCTCATTTGTGACTATGAATGAACAATCCAGTTGCAACAATATGAACAATCCAGTTGCAACAATAAGGCCGAGCACTCTTGGAGCCACTGTGCAACTCATTGGATCAATCCCTGGCTGTGATGTCTCTCCATGAATAATTTCTTTGTTAGCACGTTGATAAGGTCAGTATAACAAGAGAGAGCTATAAGCAGGCTCAGAAGTTCAAAGTGTTCACTATGGCTACATTTTGTCATTGGAAATATGCTAGGTACATTAATTCTACTCATAGTTCAGAACTCTCTGTAAAAGAGTACTGCCATAATGTATAAATATCACATATCTCTTTACAGTAAAAATTGGGGTCATACAAATGCATTGCATTTTTTTTTTCTTTTAGTTTTCCGTGGCTACAAAATAAAAGAAAGAACCATAAGAACAAAATCGGCCATTCAAGACAGATGCAAAGCCATAAAGAATTTAATCATTGAAACACACAGAAAAGGAACTTGTATGGTTTCTATATTATCTTTCTCACTGACCAATAATCTAGATTTCTAGAGAATAAAAAAGGTAGATCAGTCTGAATAGTCAGCTAAAATGTGCTAATAATTTATTAACATGAACTATAAACATGGCTTATTGAATCATTTTACCACAAAACATATAAGTCTATAAATTCTGTTCAATCAAACTATGGGTCCATGCATTATTTAGTCAGTGCACAGGAATAAAAATGTTCAAATCAGTAAAAAAAAAAAAAATTCCACCTAACAAATTCTTGGTGTAGAATATAATTCTAGTGCAGGTCTTATGGGGGATAGATAGTTAACCACTAAAGATGGTAACACCTCTGTTACAATAACGGTTTTTCACTAAGCAAGGCAAAGAAAAATGGAGGGAAAAACTGTTTTTGAGGACAGTTCTCCTCAGAATTAGACTCCTGAGTCACTGGGGGTCTTTCTTTTCAGGGCGATGAATCAGAAGGAGCAGTATTGTCTTTCCTCTTACTCTATGTAGTCCACACAAGCTGGCTAGTAGAATCATAAGGTAAGGACCAGAGATCAAACATACTGAGAAGGTGCTGATATATTAACAGATTACAATTAACTGGGTATACGAATATATATGTTAAAGTTTTATTTTCTCCCCACATGAATGAATTCCTCAGAGTTTGGGAAGTCATCGTTTCTAATGACCATTTTAATCAAAGGTGTCTGAGGGCACTTACGATGTCATTAAAACTTGAAGAGAGACAGATGAGAATTTGGCCTCAGTGTTCTGAATTTCTAAGCTGTCAACAGTCCTCTAAATTGTGTGTGTGTGTGTGTGTGTGTGTGTGTGTGTGTGTGTGTTAAACTTTGTAATATGTCGTGCCATAGTCAACATTTAGTACCTGGATCTCAACTTCTTCTAAGCTTTGCATTGGAAGTACTAGTACCTCCACAGAGAGTGTGTTCAGAATAGCGTAGTACTATTAAAGTGTAGTATTTAAAGTCTTGAACATATTATCCTGATAAAGAATAATGAGGTTTTCCATAACTTTACTTTCTGGAATGATGGCATGTAATGCAATTGTATGACCAAAAATCTTAGAAATGTGATATAGGTCTTGATTAAAATGTCTCTGTGTCTTTGCCAAACTTCAGATTAGAGTCAGCTATTTAGAGCATTGCTATATCTCAATCTGCAGTTCACACCAACACTGCTATGCAGGAAGATACTTGAACTGAGCTGTTTGGACCTCACTAAGGAATGCTATCCTAATTTGTGAAGCATTTTCTTGCATGGAATTAAACTGTAAATCTAACTTCTGTTTAGGTCAAAGCATGAACTATATATAATATGACTTAGAGTTGGAAAACATCGGCCCTTTGTTTTTAAATATCTCATAACGTTTAAGCATAAAGCTAGGTCTCTGTCACTTATCTCATTTATGATCTGCTTGAGGACAGACAACATTTTTTTCTTAGCTAAGAGTGGATCTTCTGGTCAGTTTACCACCTCCTAAAGTCTTCTCAGTATTGATATGTGATCAGAAGCATCATAGCTGGATTATAATTATACATAAACTTTCTACAGGCATAACCATAAGGATTTTAAGTAAGCCAAGTTCTTGAGAGAAATTTGCCAGGATCTCTAAATATTTGATAGTAAGTTTATGAATTAACTTTCCAAAAACACAATTCAGTCTTTTTAAACTGTGCCCATTGATTTTTCTTGAGCAATACAAACACTGGATTTCCATCTGATATCAAGAAATGTTTTAGAATTATGATACTTAAAATGTCTTCCAATGTTTTGATAATTCTTTGAAGATTTCATACAATGCATTTTGAATCTGTCCCCCCTTCCACAACTTTTCCCCTAACCAATATCTCAGCCCCTTCCCCATTCCTTCCATAGGATTCTGAGATCCTCTGTCTCTGGTCCCAATCGAGTCCTATTTGTGTTGCCCGGCTAGTCTTAGAACTAAGGTATACTCTGGTGTATGATCAAACAACAAGATGTCACACACACACACACACACACACACACACACACACACACACACACAGGCACGCACGCATATTCCTCCTTTCCCAGCAGCTATCAAATGTTAATGGGTCCCCAGCTAGAGGCAAGGGTTCCTGATCACCTTTCATGCTGGGATTTTGTCAGCCTGTGAAGATCCTGCGCACACTGTCATGATGTGAGTGCCATGATGTGCTGTACCTGGAAAAACACTTGTTTCCTTGATGTTATCAGCCACCTTTTGCTCTTACAATCTTTCTGGCCCCCTCTTCTCTGAAGATTTCTAAGCCTTTGGGGAGAAGGTGTGTCATAGAGATGCTCCATTTGGAGCTGAGTACTACACAGTCTTTTATTCTCCACACTTGAACCATCTGAGTGTCTCTGTGTTAACTGAATCTACTGCAAAGAGAAACTTCTATGAAGAACATTGAGGAATTCTCTGATCTATAGGTTATCAATATGGTATTAGAGAGAACTCAGTGCTGTTACTCTACTAAATGAACAGTCTGATCTATAGGTTATCAATAAGTCGTTATAAAGAGAACTCAACCCTGTTATTCGAGACATTTGCTTTGGAGCCTGTCCTGGAACTTGCTCTGT